AATCAATGTCTTTAATAACGTAGCCCGGTATTCTGTTTGCCTTGTTTATTGCTGCTTCACACTGTTTGACATGATGAGTGAAGAGTCAACTGACACCCATAGATCTTTTTCAGCTTCTCCCTTGGAAAATTCTATCCCATCCATGTGTTTCCTATTCTTACTTTCTATATGTTGTAACTTGCCTTTGTCTGCAATGAACTTCATTCGCCAGTTATCAATTAGAGAGGAGCTCTCCATAGGGTAAGATCTTACATCCTTTGACATTTCTAATTTGACTGATTTGTTACTGAACCATTTACAAAGCATTTGACACTTCATATTGCGATACACAAAAACCAGCTACTGAAAATTAAACTTGCAAATTATAGCATACATTTTCGGATCTATTCGCTTTTTAATGTTCTCAGAAGCTCCTTTTAAAATTCTGGCTGCATTCATAGCCAGCTTATTAATGGTTCCTCAAACTCTGGGCAAAGGAAAAGAGCAGAGAAACCAGTTGAGATTCCTGCTCCTGATCACTATCTTATGAAACCCCAACACTAATGGAGGTACCCATGTGTGGACTTTAGGTGAGGGCAGGATTGAGAGCAGGATATGCTATCCATTGCATTCAAACAGCCTACTACCTCTCAGACAATGCTCACACATCAATAACAGGCATTTGAAGAAAGAACAGGAGAGAAACCAGCCCTAGTGGGAAAATATCCTTATGAAAGGAAAGAGGAGAAGACAATTGTTGTTAATGACCTATGCCTGAAGAAACTTTAATTTCAGAAGTTATGCAATTTTAATTCTCACCAATGTTCTCCCTTCTTCTCCTTTTCTGAAAAGATTTGAACTTCTAGTTGAGTTTCAGCATCTCACCCTAGTGTTAATTATTTACGTGAGTATTGACATTACAGCCAGCAGGTTATTCAACAATGAAGAGAGTGAGTATTGCAGCTGAGCTCAATCTTGTCCGCCTCTTCAGTGTCCACATACATGCACCTAGAGCATCGGATACTCGACAAAGACAAGGAATGGGAATTTTGTCCCCTGCTCTACCCGCCCACCATCAGAAGTTTCAACCTTTCTGCCCCAATTCTCTGGAATCCATCCATGAGTCTCTCCAACTCGCTATCTCCCTCACCTTATCCAAGGTTCATCGCAAGACCTACCTCTTTTTGGTTATCTTTCCCCTCCCCACCCCTGTCTTCAACATCACCAGTTTGGGTGCCCAGTCAGTACAGCCAGTAAGCACTTGGGAATATCCTCCTGATGTGAAAGACGCTATATAAATTTAAATTTGTCTTGTATCAGTTAACTGTGACTGAATGTGGATCAAAACTAATGGCTCAGCTACAGAATGAATAAAATCATCAGGATTATGATAATAAATAATAAATAAATAATTACAATAAATAATTGTATCGTATTTGATATAGCAAAGCATATTTCAAAGCAGTTTACAGGATTTACTCTACAGTGTAGTGGCCCTGTATTTTTAGGCGATAACATCTATTTTGGAATTAATTTCTCCTCAGTTTGAGTTTCTTCAGTTACTTCACAAAATGTTTCAGGAACATGTGCCAAAAAGAATTGTGTTGTACTGAAACTTCCGACAAAATATACAACAGGACTGTCCAAACATAGTTGAATTCCCATGGCACCAATTGTTCCTAATACACAGTCCCACATAATTGAAGGATTCAGTGAAGCTTCTGTGTGGAGCTCACTGGTGGAGCCACATTGACCAGGCTAACAGATTTTCATATGACCTTTCTTGCTTTTATAAACAAGGTCAGACCTCGTAAATACAGAAAGATTTTCAAACACTTTATTTGATTTTATAGGTTTTGTTAAGATTGATACACATTTGAGAGCTCTTTTTGAGTCAAACATTGAATGAAAGAAAAGCATAGTTTGATGGTTCCTGAGTATGGATTGGAAACTATCAAGTTATTTACAGGAAACTACTAGAAGCTGCCTTTGACGTTACTTTCTAATACAAAATACATCTATAATTATCTATTTTTACCTCAATAACTTTTACTTCAATAACTTCAAGATTGGTTGACCTTTTGCTAATTATTTGACTTTGGTCAAGTTTGCATGAGAGTTTATGAGTTACTTTGGTAATTATCTGATGATGCAATGCTGTTTCACTTTGATGAAATTCATTCAGTAAAGAAGAATTTGAAGCAATGGGATAAACCATCACACCATGTTGTCACAAAACTATATTAAATGCTGTCTCAGTATTACTGGAGTAAGTCTGAACATTAGCATCAAGTATTTAGAAGTATTTTAGAACATTAGCATCAAGTATTTCCTGTTAGCAGGAAATGAATCATTGCCAATTGCAATTAAATAAACAGGCAGTTTTGTTCATTCATTACCTCAATGGCTCTTTTCCCAACCAGTCTTAATAATCCTACCTTATTGGATTTTGTTTCAAAACTAGACTCTAAATAGTAGACTTTTACAATCCAGCAAAAACAAAAGTGAAAATGGCCAGAGTAAAATGTTCATAAAAATATGTTTTAAACATTTAATGCAATATTTGAGGGTGCACTTAACATAAGTCAGAGTTTTGCAGGAATGTGGAAACAAATGTCTATCAATTATTTGGATAAAAACAGAGTTGACTTTGTTAAATGTTTGGTGAATTAAGATAGTTTCCATCACTTCGCTTCCCCTCAGCTGTATAAAGCAGTAGTCAGATCCCATCTGGAGTACCTCATTAAGTTTTGGGCACCACACCTCAGGAAAGATATATTAGCCCTGGATATGATGCAGCACAGGTTCAGCCAGAATGTTACCAGGCCTAAAAGGGTTAAGTTACAAGGAAAGGCTGCGTATTGTATTCCCTTGAGTTTAGATGGTTGAGGGGTGATTAGACTGAGATATTTAAGATGATAAAGAGATTCAATAGGGTAGATACAGAGAAGCTATTTCCTCTGGTGGGGGAATCGAAAACTAGGGGACATTGTCTTAAAATTAGAAACTGACATTTTAAGAGTGAAATCAGGAAGTATTTTTTCACTCAAAGGGTGGTAGAAATCTGGAATTCTCTCCTCCAAAAGGCTGTGGATGCTGGATCCATCCACACCTTCAAGAGTGAGGTTGATAGATTTTTGGTAGGTCAGGGTATCAAGGGATATGGGGAGAAAGTGAGAAATTGAAAGGATTATTTGAGGTATAGATCAACCATGATCTAATTAAATGGTAGAACAGGCTCGAAGGGCTGACTGGCCTACTCCTGTTCCTATATTCCTACGTTCCTTGCATTATGGCTGCTGAGCTTGACCCCAAAGTCGCTCTATTTGTCAGTATATATTAGCAGAAGTTTGTTGAGGTGCTTCAATGAAGCTGTGGTTGAATCAGATAGTTTAGATACATTGAAGAGGAATCTCGACCTTCACATGAGGGAGAGGAGAATAAAGGAGTACGGAAGGGAGTAAACAAATGTGAAGACTCATCTGGAGTATACACACTGGCATGTATTGGTTGGGCCAAGTGGCCTGTTTCCATACTGTACATTCTTTGTAACTTTGTAACTCTTTGTGATGTGATAAGCAGCTATAAAAATGCACGTTTTCCCCTTCCTCCCTCCGTCATATCATTTGTGACATGATAATGTCATGCACAACTAACTTGGGGATAAATTTCATTTGCGTCAGGTGTTGGTGAACAAACGAAAAGTTGCTGGCAAAAAAAAATTGTTCAGGACAATAGCAACACCAGAACGTTCACATGAAAGCATGCATGGGATGAAATAAGTGGACAAAATAGACTATGGGAAAACTTACAGAAGGAAGTGTATGTGGGGTCAACTGCTTTGTATTACAGCAATGCTACATTGGTATCTATTAACAACTTCCTTAAACACAATGTAATTCCCATTATAGTGATAGAATAATATTTTTAGGAGCAATCCATGTCTGGTACTTGGGGCTGTGTAAACTAAAGCAGAATAAGTAAGTTAATGGCAAGTGTTGGATTACAGTGAAGGCATGTTTGCAATCACATACTACTGGAGCACTCAATGTCTCGAAAGAAAAACACTGCATGTCCGGATCAGAATGCACGTCTTCAATGTGACCATCCCTAGGCTAGAGGAGCATAGTAAACGTGGCTACAGGGCCAGTTTTGCAATGAAAGTTAATGAAATCCGTGCAAAATTGCTTTCACCAGGGACAAACCAAACAGCATCAGTAGTTCATCTTACTCCATCTATCGGGTTGCAGAGCTTTGGAAGTAGATGTCAGAGTATACATCTTTTTAATAAAATAACAGAAATGTTAATACAATGTTAAGAAACTTGTGTCATTGTGGTATGTGGAATGATTCTCTGCAGCAGGATGCAGAAAGTCAGGCTCACAAATTTTACTGAGGTATTACACTAACATTTTTAGCAATATCTTCCAGTTCATTTGTTAGTACCTGGAGTTGTTTCACAGCGATGTGTTATTTTTCCCATCGCTTTGCTGAATTGACAGCACTCTCAGTTCTGGGTCAGTGGGCTATGAAATGAAATCCCACAATATCCTAGGCTGACATTCCAGTGCAATACTAATGGAGTGCTGTAGTGCTGATGGTTCCGTCTTAGATGATGCAGTGGATCAAGATCCCATCTGCCCGTTTAGATGGATGTTAAAGATCCCGTGACATTATTTAAAAAGAAGAGGCACTTCCCCCCGTTTACCAGGCCTACAATTTCCCAAATTAATCGTTCATTTCATTTTGATTTGTGAAGCCTTTCAGTATTGTAAAATGGTTGCTGCATTTGCCTGTCCAGTATTTACCCTCAGACATGATGTCTCTCTCAGGAATGCTGTGTCTCTCGGGGATCCTGTAACCTCTAATGTTAACGAAGAATCATTTTGAAGGAACAGAACTGGATATCAACAAGCTATCTCAGAACAGGAACCCGAGGCCTGAAATTTCACCTGGTCTCAACCTGATTCCCAGTTAGTGGTCACCAGCACAATTTCAAAAAACACGCAGATATTTCTTACCTGTAGTTTTGCTTTTCACTGGCCAATTGAAACTTCTCATAAAAGGAATATGCTCGGTTTCCCTCCCAGTCTCTGAGCTCGATTCTTAAAGAGTATTGGCGCTGGCTAGTTAGTAGGAAGATCATCTCATTTCCTAGCCAGTGTTCACCAGCTAGACTGCCAAATCCCTAGGGAAAAATTCATACAAATAATTAAACTTCAGTCCAAGTAATGGCAATTCTGGATGTAAACTGGAGTTTAACGTGTGAGTTCCAACGGGATTGCTTAATAAGGAATTGTTGTCTTCTAGTCCTTGTGCTGAAACTTTTTACACAGTGGATGTGGAATTTATTGGTAACTATTGACATTTGAATGTTAATACCCTCAAAAAGTATTTTATTTATTATTAATGTGTACTTACAATAAAACAACCTTTAAAAATACATTCAACTAGCAAAGATGAAACACAGTGCACGTTGTGGAGTAACAATAGATTATAAGGAAAACTATAGAATTAACAGATTATAGAGGTTAATGGTATTCTCAATGGATTGGCTTTTCAATAAACTACAATTGATCATTCACCTCTTGGCTTTTTATACAATACAAAATTATATTTGTATAGTGCCTTTCACGTCAGGAGGACGTTCCAAGGCGCTGGACATCCCAAGGGGTATAGATCACACATTTATGGGACATTGCTGTGTATAAACTGACTATCGTTTAGTCCACAAATACACAGTCACCCCACTTAACAGCAATTACTGTTAAGCATTTTGAAACATTGACATCATAGACCCTAGAGCAAATGCAAGGATTATTTTATTATGAAAACATTAGTTTCATTTTTTATGTATTTATTCTAAGATCAACAAAAATCACTTTCTCTACTTCCCCAGTGGATGAGTTTGTAGTTTTAACCATATCACGTACAGTAACACAAAATAGCTTCCTAAGTGTAAATCACATAAAAAGAAAACATTGACAGATATTCCATGGAGATCTACAAAACCCAACTTTAAATATAGGCTCGAGGGCTGGAAGCAACAAAATCTTAAAGTTTTCCTCATTCTGCTGCAATTGAACAATATCCACAATAACATGCACATTTGTAGCTCAGTTATGTAACAAAACAAAATTCTGTGTGGTTTATATAAACCCTTGGATTACATCCATTCTAGACATCTGGAATACTACAAGCTTTATGAAAAAAACTCGGAGTTGGTTGTTTCCACTGTTAGAATCACTGTATTCTGTAGCTAACATTGTTTTGAAACCATTCCCAGGATGTTTGTGTTTTATAGTTATGGTTTTTATGTGGTTTAAGTGAAACCACCTTGGGCTTTGTATAACTCTCAAACTAATCCAAGGCATGTTTTTGACAATGCAATAAATTATTCCTAAAGTATAAACTGTAGGTGTATATCAGGTTACTCTGCTTCCAGACCTTTTTCCCCGTTCCACAACTCTTATTTGGGTAGCATAGATAATTGGGAAAAAGAAAACCATAAAGCTTTCCATTCCAGAATCAGACTTCACTGAAGAATAATGCTGAATAAAGTTTTCCTTAGAGGCATACTGGGATTTATTTTACATTGAAGTAAGAATACTTCCCCTCCAAACACACACACCTCAAAGGACTCAATGCTTGAGTAAAGGCTCTAGACTTATTTTACCAAGAACTAGTCAGTAGCAGGTGGTATGCACTTGCTAAGTTAAAAGATTGAAGTACATTTTCTTTGCTGCATGCTAGCTTTATAACTTGAAAGTTAATAAAAAAAGTTAATACAACTTTTTTTTTACCTGAATCAGATTAGTGCAACTGATTAGCGCCTGAATGGTTAACCACATTAAATTCATAGGAGAAAAGGGAATAGAGGAAAATAGGATGAGTGGAGACTCTTGCGCAATACAAACAATGGCATGGACTAGTTGAACCAAAATGGCCTGTTTCGGTGCTGTACAATCAGTATAATTCTATTTATTTTTTCCTCTAGTCTTTTTGACACATGTCGACATCCACAGGCATACTACATCCACCGAATATGGAAGGCGCTAGGTCAAATGTAAGGATTATTTTATCTGGGGAATTGTTGGCCTGGACACCGGGAGAAACTTCCTTCTCTTTTGGAATAATGAAAGATGTTTTTTTTCCCCTCCTGACAATATTTCACTATATCAGGATTTGTCTATATAATACAAATGACTGGTTGAGTGATACTGGCTGATGAGAACACATGTAGTTTGGCTTCAGATACAAAGAAAAGGAAAATCAACTTGAAATGGCTGCATTCTTGGCATTGATTCAAGGAATGACCGAGGAAAAGAATAATTGAGTCAAAGAGTCCCTGAACAAAAGGAGAGGTCCTGTGCTTTGATTTCTGAGACTGTGAACGTGATTTGAATCTGACAAAACAGTTCACAACATGTATCACAGACTCCTGCGTGACCCCAGAGTATGATTGCAGCCTATGGAGGTTCCGGATTCCCAGCAGGAGATCAGAGTCTCAAAGGAGTTCCACATGATAGGCTAGAGATACTGTTAGGAATGAGTAATATTTAATATTTAATTATAATAAGAATCCTTGCATTTAGTATAGCACCTTTCACGTCTTTTAAAGGACATCTCATAGGTTTTACTGTAAAGTGTAGTCATTGTATATTTTGTAACAATAATAGGCAAATGTTGGCAAATGTAGTAGTCAAACAGCAACTTGCGCACAGCAATGTTCCGCAAACAGCTATGAGTTGAGTGATTAATTGTATCTGGGAGATTGTTAGCCAAGTCTATGTTAAATCGACGTTAAAGCTTCCATGACTCTGTTCAAACAGAGAAGGGAGTTTCTGCTGATGTCCCAGCCAACAATCCTCCAGATAACTTGCTTGTTCACCTCATGCCCCTGTTTGTGGGACCTTGCTGTGTCAAACAAAAACAGTCCCCACCCTATACAATGATTACTGTAAATCACTTTAAGATATTTTAATGTGGTAGTTTGAAATACAAGTTTTTTTTTGTAAATGCAGATGCAAGTGAACTTTTTAACTTGGATTGTAAACCCTGAACTGCAGAGCACAGGCTATAAACATAGACAAACCTCAAGTGAAATGATACAAAAAGCACTCAATAGAGTTGATCCAATCCCTTCCCGGTCTCACCCCTCTCTACTTATACCATCTTCTCCAGGCCTGCTCTCCCATTCATATCCTTCACTATCCCTACTCCAGTTTATTGCCCACTTCTCAATCCTCCGTTCAACTATCAGTGTCTGAGTCCTGCTCTCTGAAACAACCCAACAGCCTTAAAATAAAGACATGTCAAAGCGCTTCACAAAATTTATTGTAAAGTATAGTGGCAGTGTAGTTTTTGGTGAAGGTGGCACTTAATTTGCCCCAACAATGTCCCACAGACAGAACCTTAGTTTAATGTCTCATCCAAAGTGTTCCCGCAACACTGTATTGGAGTGTCAACCTAAGCTGTGAGTTTCAAAGTCCTGATATGGGGCTTGAACTCATAAATTTCTGACATGAAGGTATGACTACTCTTGTGATGTGCAGATTGGATCCTTCAAACAAGTGTTGTTTAAATATTTTTGTAGCAAGGCAGTTGGTGGCTATAGGGATGAATAAAAGCAGAGATATCAAATTTCTATTGAAGACTCCTGTGTGGTCAGGATTGTGGTAACAAGTATGTACGTAAGTTAATACCCACTTGCATTTATATAAGAATTTGTAAGTAGCACCAACATCAACAACAAGTTGCACTCTTCACAAAGGAACATCTCAAAGCATTTAACAATAACGTAGTTTGACGCTGAGCTGGAGAGAGAGGGGAGATACTAGTAGGCATGGTCGAAGAGGAAAATTTTCTGGTGTGATATGAAGATGGTAGAAGAGGCAGGCATGGTGGAGAGATTGAGGCAGGGAATTCCAGAGGGTCAGGGAATAATGGCTGAAAGCACGGCTGCTGATGGTGGAGCAGTTGGTTTGAGGAGCGTGCAAAAGACTAGAGGCAGCTGAGTGAAGAAGGCAGTTAGAGGAGTGGGATGTGAGCAAGTGGAAGAGATAGGGAGGTGCCAGGGCATGAAGATGTGTGTGAGGATTGTGAAATCAATTTGTTTAGCAACAGAGAGCCACTGGAGCCTGGCAAAGACTGGGGTGATGAGGTTGCTGAGTTTGGAACAGGTGAAGATATGAGTAGCAGAGTTCTGAATCAGTTAGACTGTGTGAACAGTGGTGCTGGGGTGTCTGGCAAGGAGTAATTGGAGAAATTGAGGCAGAAGATGGCGAAAGCACGGATGAAGGTTTCAGCAGCGTTGGGTGTGAGAAACAAATATAACTACAAAATACAATAAATAAATACAACAAATGTCTAAAAGAGCTTCCGAAAATAAAATTGGTCAGACAAACATGGCAGCTAATCTGCATTCGTAGATCAAACACACAATAAAAATGGAAATCAGAAATGGAATGAATTTCTTATTTTTATAATTGTTTTGTTCAATGCACATTCAGGTTTCCAGCAACATAGCTAACAATCCATTAAACAAAAGTAAAATATGTATAATTTACATAAATGCATGCATGCTGCCCCAAACTGTGTGTCAAGGAATAAATCTGCCAGGAATTTACATTACCAACACTGACCTAAGAAAAAGTATTTAATTTAGGCTTCCACTGCGACAATCCCTGAGGGTGCACTTATTAAAATGGATTGTATCAAATAATACGGAATACAGCCATCATGGTATTACTCAAGCAAATATCTAGGAAATGTTTTGAAATTATCTTTCTGTTTTCAACTGCAGCCAGACACTGTGGCTACCCATTTCCTTGTGGCTTGTGACGTGTCTTTGCTCTCACCAGACTTCCTCACTGAGACATTTTCCCTACATTTATGTAAGTTCTGACAAATCTCACCTCAATACTTCCAACATGCATGTTGCTCCAAACTGTGTTATACTTAATTAACACTCATAGGGGAGGGGGGTGGGTGGGAGTGGGGGAATTTGTAACATTTGGAAACAAATTGAATCAAAAAGAATTTCAATGGATAATTATCAACTGGTTTCAAGTCTGAACACTCTGCTGCTTTGGTACAAGTTCTGCAAAACCTTCTGAAAATCATTTGGCCACCCTTTTAGGTAATAGTTGAGCAGGATCGTGAGAAGAATATAATGATATAAGAATATTATTATGAAATTAATATAATATAATGAAAATAATATCCTGTCCGTTTGATATACAGCCTGCAACAGATTTAGTGTAATGCAAGTTTAGTGACTTCGTATCTAAAGGCAATCTTGGCATCTAATTTGTACACAAACATCATCTTAATAATAATTTTGACGTGAATGACCAATTTATCTGGAGGAATTTTGACCAGGCCAACTGGAGTAACTGTTTTCAAATAACATGATGGGATTTTTAAAATCCAGCTCAACATCAGACAGGACCTTAGTTTAACATCTAATGTGAAGGACAATCTCCCTATATTATGCTTAAATGCTTATACTATGAGCTCAAAGTCCCGACAAAACACTTGAATGCCCCAAATTCTGACTCAGATTCGAGTGGTTATATATGATATGAGTGCTGCTTTATAGGATCCCAGCTGATTTGCAACGATCAATGATAATTGGGAGCACAGAGACCTTTGGGCTGAACCATTGTGCCAGTGCTCTAATAATTATCACATCAAACACATCTGTATCCAGTGAGCAGCTAGCATGGCACAGACATGATGCGCTGAACTTTCTATGAAAGCATTTCCTCACATGCTCACCATTTTATATTCTTTCCAGGTTCTTTGAAAATCAACACTGCCATCTTTTCTGTGTTGTATGACTGTCCAGCCACCCCCTGCAGTCTCCATATTACAGTACACCTGCAAATATAAACAATGGCACATTCAGACCTTAGTCAAAGCAAGTTGAGGTACATAGTTCCTATTCACTCACTGATTTGCATGACTACTATACAGCCAGGTAGACTTTCAATGGGACGTGTAACTTACATCTAAGGTTTGTGACTATTATCAACTCAGACAATAACATTGCACTGTAATGCTGATGTTTTTTTTGAAATGAGAGAAGTATTCATATTCATGTACATCTGGTACACTATGGATAGTTTCCTCTATACAGGTAAGAATCAGTACAAATTACAAATACTTGGTAAGAGAAATTGAACATCGAGCTTTCATAACTTGTCTGTGAAGCAATATGCTTAATATTCACATTTGTCTCTTCTCATTTAACAATAATGTTTGGATCTTCATGAAAAATAACAGAAAATATTAAAAGCTCCTGCTGTACACCTTTTTTAAATCCTCCAAATTATTTCTTCAATAACAATTCATCAACTTATTGAAATTAATTTCTGAAATGTAAAGGAGGTTGCAATATAGTAGGGGAATCATTTTGAGAATACAGCAACAGTCTGCATTAACATAGCACTCTTCATGTGGGTAGTGTCTCGGAATGCTTTTACAGGTCACAATGTTCTAGTATGGACTTTGCCAGTGATATAGTTTTCCAATGACTCTTGACTCACGTAAGTCTTCAGAGTTACATAAAATCTTCAGTTACTAATAATAATCCTTATATTTGACATAGTGCCTTTTATTTTGGAGAGAATGTCTCAAAGCACTTCAAAGGGTACACTGTACGTAGTAGGCGAATGCAACAAGCAAACAAAAACTAAACCCACCAGTCAATGCTGAGAGCCATTGTTGAAAACAATATTGTATGCAAAAGCTTGACCGTAAATACTTTGAAACAAAATAAAACTTCAGAATGGTAATTAATTTGTTTCTCTGGGTTAAGAGGATGTTGATTCAAATCCCACATTAGCACCTGCACTCCAGGTTGGCACTCCAGGGAACACTTTATTATTGGAGGTGTCATCTTTTAGATGAAATATTAAACTGTTAGTTTGCCTGTTCAGGTGCTTTATTAAAAGAGTTTAACCCAATGTTCCTGGCCACAATCCACCAGCTAAATTTGTCAAGCCATGTCATGATTTATGAATTCACATGATTTATGTCCATTGCAAGCTTCAAAAGTTACTTGTATAATGAAAACAACCACACTTTATGAAGCATTTTGACACATTTTCGATGTTATAAGCACTATATAAAAATAAAGGATTATTATATTTTGATTAACTGAATTGACATTGATGGCTTCAGTTACTTTCCCTTTCCCAGTTATTCAGCTGTCATAGGCTAGAAGGCTAAAGGTATGTAAAGTGTATTTGTGGGCAAACTCAGCAGGCAATTAATACATAACAATGTCCCACAAGCACGAATGAAGTAAGTGACTAATTTTGTTTGGGGGATTATTGGCCAGGACACTTGGGAGAGAGACACTCCCTTCTCTTTTTTAATTGAATATTTGTATTTTATCTTATTCATAAATTCTGCCTTCATTTAGGAACTGCTTTTCTGCGGTTCTTAAAAAGGACCCAGGAAAATGATGACTGAAGTAAGAATTTGACAAGTATGCTATATGATTCCCTGCATTATGACAGTCTGAGCTGAAATTAAGGGAAAGTTTGAAAATTCCAAATGGCAATCATATATCATTATGTGAAGAATTATGGACGAATGGGAGAAGTAATTATTCAGTAATAAAAAGGGTCAAGTCATATAAACTGAGAGCAAAGCTGAATTCCAGCCTGATTACTCTCTCCCAATCACCTATTGTTTTTTCTTTTCTATATTATGATATCAACACAATGAAAACAGCACTGATGACCATTAAATCTTGTGCTAAAATTACTTTGACTGAGGGCTGTGAATCTGTTCTCAATTTAGAAGCAAAATTATAGCACCAACAGAGGATAATACGTTGCTCAGGCTTTGCATCCTGAATTCACATGATTTATGTCCATTGCAAGCTTCAAAAGTTACTTATATAATGAAAACAACCACACTTTATGAAGCATTTTGACGCATTCTCGATGTTATAAGCACTATATAAAAATAAAGGATTATTATATTTTGATTAACTGAATGGGATTGTGTAAAAAGGACAGAATTTGAAAGTAAGTGTAGCTTACCAATATCTTACCCTAAAATGGTGTGAAATGTTTTAGAGGATGTAAGGCCAGAAAATCCACCTGGATTCTTAAAATTTCATATAATGTAAAACTTTGACTTATTTTTAAATTCGGCCTTAATTTAGGAACGGGGTTTAAAAAAAAAGGACCCAGAAAAAATGATTTCAAAAATAAGATTGAAATTAAGAATTTGACAAAATTCTGCACAATCTCCTGAAATTCTAAGATAATAATAATGATCATTGCGTTTGATGCACCTTTATCATGTCTTCAAAACATCTCGATGCAATCCATAGGATTTATTTTAGTGTGTGTTTGTAATAATATTAAATTCAAACTAGGTGGAGTTTCTGAACCAGATGTCAGAATCTATTAAATCTAGTTCATTTATAATTTGTTATGCCGGTCACAATGTTAACATCACATCCTATGTGCAGGAAACATCACTTTGTTATCTAAGCAGTAGATAAAACACATCAAGTTTATAAGAACTTGGCACCGAGCAGATATTAAAACTCCAAGTTATTATAGAAACAGAGAAGGAAGCTCAACCAGACGATTGATAGATTGACCATGTACCTCATAGTTGTTTATGAAACTTTGTTGTGCTCAAATTGTTGCCTTGTATGGCTAAAAAATAGATTTACTAAACTTGACAACAATTACTTGTGAAGCACTTTGAGGAGGTTTAATATGAGACGGTGCTATAAAAATGCGAGTTCTTTCTTTCTATTTGCCACCAAATTCCATTTAATAACTCACACAATAATGATGTGTCAAAGAGCTAATCTCTACCAACAACACAGAATGTAATCTTTTCCTGACAAATTTAAAAGAGAGGGAATATCAGCTAGGTTGCCAAAATAACTATCTGATTTTCTTTAAACAAAACAACTTTGTATAACATCATCACATAGGATAATGTCTCAGAGCACTGTACCACAGGATTTGTAATCACCAGAACAGATAAAGAACAGATTTAACTTCTCATCTGAAGCACAGAGGCTTAAACCATGCAGAACTCTCCCCAATACTGCACTGGAGTGTCAGGCCAGAGAATGGGCTCATGTTCCTGTGTGGACCCACAATCATCTGACCCGCAGTTACCAACTAAGCCAAGATGACAGTGAAGCAATCTCTATGTGGAACACAACAAACTCTATGGTTTATTGCTTAAAAGCGTGATCTAAATGAATAATTATATTGGGTCTATAACTGAAATTAATTTGTTTATGAATCCGATAAAAACAAGAAATATATTTTTATCAAATAAACTTACAAATACAATTATGAATAAAGAACAAATTTGTAAATGCCAAGATAACACAACATTCAAAGGGTTTGGTTCAGCAAATTATTTAGATAAGATAATAGATTCATCATATGACAGGGAAATGCACAAATTAATTCTATTCTGGTCAATTTCATTTTGGCACTGAGTGACTCCATAGTTTTCCATGCCAGGTCTCAAAGTCCATTTCTGCCTGTAGTTGCTGGTCAATATGACTTTGTACTGTGTCATGTGAAGGAGAGACTCAACTGTCAACTGTTCAGATCACATTCAGCAAAGCAGAAAGATATTCTCCACAAAACTCCCACTCCTGTTTAGAACATTACTTTGTCAAGAGTCTCTGATTTCAGGAGCTGCTAAAGAAAGTTTCTGGCAGGTTGGCAGGAGGGGGGTGGGTGAGGGTGAGGAGAATTTTCCTCACAGGTCACTGCTTGGATGTGGTTATGTAGCTGTCAATCTGATTCTTGTTGCTGTCGTCTTGTTGGAGAATGTGAGGGAGAGAGAACTGGCAAGTGCTGACAAGCATTTTCATGGAAGTATACTGTAAACACTTAACTTGATATTCAACTATTTCTTACTGGCTTGTACACAGCTAATTGTGGAACATGGAGAATATAGGCCTAAAATTCCACTGATTTTTTAGTCTATGAGATCATTTTGTTTTAAAAAAATGAAGACAATACTTAAATGCAGTAAGAATGGAAATATTGCTTAATGCGGTAATTAATTTGAATAAAAGTTTTGTTACAAACTATGGAATAAACATCTTCCATATTAAGACAAAATTTCACACAATTCTGCACAATCTTAAACATTGATTTTATTCTTCATAATCAATAATTAAGCAGAATTTTGAGCTTTGCATGACCTAAAGTTGTCTCTTTAACATGGTTCTTACCTTTTTGGGCTCTGACGTGTTGCTGATATGAATACTGTAGACCCCACTAGTATTGAAACCAGCATGATAGGCCTCTGCACAGTCTTTGAATGATTTCTCTTTGGTGCATTTTAATGCAGCTGTAGATAAAAAAAAGTCAAACTTGTCACGTAAAGCATCATAAATTTCCATAGTCAGGATATTCAGGCAAGGGGGAAAATATAATAATTATTCCTGATATTGTCCACCTATTTCAGATAGATGTTAGAGTAGGGAGTCTCTCCCAGTGTCCTGGCCTCCAGATTAATTGATCATTTATTCATCCCTATTTGTGGGACTTTGTTGTTCACAAATGTCTACCACATTAGTGTGCAAATAAGCAGTCACTGTTTTTTGTGGCAGTAGTTGCTGTGAAAAGCTTTGAGACATTCGGATGTTATAGACATTATATAAAAAAAAGTCAAGTTCATTTTGGATCAGCTGGAAGCTGCATTTTCTGTTTACTTGCTTCCAGTCTGTTGGAACCTCACCAGTGATGATTAACTCTCTTATAGTGTCTGCCAATGATACATTGACCCATTTGAAGAGAGATTGCCCCATTTACTGGCTATGATTACAAGCCAAACACGTCAAATACCATAAATACTTCAAACTTATGAGATACGCATTGCAACATCATGGTAGTTTATTATTCAGCTCATCCAATTACAGCTACCTATTGGTTTGTTTGATTAATGCAACATATTGTGTGGTTAGTGGTTTTATATTTCAATCAACCTAGATATGTTATGTTAATATTTGTGGTACTGAAAATATAATGGGTTGTAGCCATGTAAAATAATGTATTAGCATAGGGCTGGTGTTGGACAAAGCAGTTATGCAAGACTGTGCTCATTTATTTGATTTATCTTGCAGCATTTTTAAGAGGTTGACTTTCAAAATAATGAAAATATGTGTGATTGTGATTTTATAAAAGATAGTTTTTCATAAATGCTACTTTAGTATGCTTTCAGTGGGGAGGATGAACTGAATGAAACTGAAGAAAGGAAGATATTAACACAGAAATGTTGCTGATGTTTTTACACAATGTTACAATACATATAGCAAAAGGACCCAAGCTCTTGGCATTAGCTCAGAATCTAAAGCATAAGTCTACCTGGGCCATCAATTTGAGTTCTTTGGAATTATTTCAATTTTACCCGATTAAATTGAACTCGGATTCTGTCCCTTCAAATTATTTGCTCAGTGTCAGTGTCTCACTAAATGTTCCCCTACACTCACTGCACATAAAGGGCAAAAGCCATCATTCCATGGTTAAGTCAGCGTCCTGACAAAAGTTTTGCAGTGATTTTCAGAGCCAGCAGGAACCATATTGAAGAAGGTGAGTATGTGGAATTCATTGACACAAGCCATGGTTGAAGAAACCTGATAACATGTATGAGGGTTGGCAAGTTGGCAAGAAGCAAAGTGGGAATGGTGGGGGCAAGCAGTAATCTTAGTTAGCTGAGCAAAGAGGGTGAGCAGGGGAGTAGGGTAGAGAAGATTGGAGAGTTATGGAGATGCCAGGGAGTAGATGGATTTGTAGCTAAGGGTGAGAACCTTGAATCGATTCACTGGAAGATGGTGAGCCAGTAGAGACTGATGAAGACTAGGGTGATGGTTGTGCAGAGTTGGAATAATGGAAATACGGGGAGGGATGAATAATTTAGAGTTTTTGCTTCATTATTGGTGGGATCCAGGTCTATCTATGCAAAACAATGGGTAGAGTGGATACCTTAGTGTATTAGAGTGTATAATATAGATTGTTATAGTGAAGTGTGACCACCGTAGTCTGTGTAAAGGCAGGCTTGTAACTGATCATTGACCAAATTAACGTTTCTCATCCATGCTTTCTTGTGTTCTTAAAATGCTCCTAAAGTATCTGAAAAGATTTTATACAAGGTTTTATACAAAATTGACATGATTTGTGGTCTTAGATCGTGTAAGTACTGTTCTCTAAGTAAGAAATCCAATGTAAATTGTAAATTGCTCAGGCTTTTTAGAAATGACATATTGAAGGCCAAAGAAAACTATTGAAGTATGCAATAACAGCAAAACCATAATGAGCTCCTTAGTTGCAAGAACAGCAAAAATGTTCCGCTTAACAAAACTATTTGCTGCTTCTGTTCTCCTGAGGAAGATAACAAATCTGTGGTAGTCTTTCCAGTCACATAAGACACATACCAAAGTGTTCCTAATCTTATCTTGTCCATCAACGCAGTGGGAATTGATGTGAATGAAAGCATTCACTGTAGATAATGCAACTATTGACTTTGTGGACTTGGTAAATTGAACATCAAAGCAGAGCGATTTGAAAGACTGTGAGGAATGTGGCTGCTGTATAACAGGAACAGTGCTTTAATTATTTCAGTGATCATTTCTTTATCATTATTATTTATTCAAAGGTTTTTTACATAAATATAAATTCCAAAAATCGTGATGGGTAATTAGGAATAATACAAACCAATAAATGAAAGGGCAGTAACCGTAAGAGGAAACAGTGTATATCACTCAGTCAGGCTGGGTGTGGGGAACCATTAACAAAGACAACACATTAAAGGACTATCGGCTGATTGAACAGTGCATTGAATGATTGCGGGTTCACTGGTGACAGAGAACTGCCATTCAACCAAAGAAGTAAGGAAGAAGATGGATAATATCAAAATCCATTAAAAGCAACGAGGTGAAATAGACAAAGAAACAGCTGATAATTAGACAGCATTAACTTTATATTGCGCCATTCAAATAGAATAACGTCTCAGTGCACTTAACAGTGGTGGGGGTGCCAAGCAGGGGAGAGATGGGAAGGGGAAGTGACCATGGGCTCAGTTGAAGAGGTAGCTTTTAAGGTAAAACTTGAATACAAACAGGGAGGGAGCAAGAAAGAGGGGTAGAGGGAGTTCCTGGAGTTAAATTGATTGGCTGAGACATTAGTTACCATTCAGAAGATTGGAGACCTGAAATCTCTCCCTATCTCAGAGTATTATCTTAAAAGACCATGCAGAATTTAGAAATTCTTATATTCAGTCTTCCTAAACAATAATATAATAATCCTTGCATTTGATATAGCGCCTTATCACATCTGCGAAACGTCTCAAAGTCCTTTACACAATATACTGTCAAGTGAATTAACTGTATATTTTGTGGGAGAAACGCGGCATTCAGTTGCATGCAGCAGTGTCCTACAAACAGTCGAGGATTGAGTGACCAAGTTATTAGTTAAAACATTTTTTTGAAGGGATTTTTACCCAGTGTAAAGCAATCCACCAATCAACTAACAACCAGGTAAACAGAGGCATGTGGAGGAAGCAAACTTGCTAAATGTTTCACCCTGTCCGGGAATCGAACCCAGGTCACCTCACTGAGCTACAGGACTTGGACACTTTAGACACTTTGAGACTCCACACTAAGCCTAAACTGAGCCTTACTTAAAATTTAAATTTAAAAAAATAATATGCAGAAATGTGAATGTAAGTCTTTATTTAACAATCTGTTACAGGTAGAAAAAGTCAGAGGTAGTGAAGGGCTGGCAGTGTGCTGCTACAGTTACAGACCAATTCCTGATGGAAGAAGTTCTTTATACAAATTGTAATCAATTTGTATTTTTCCTGATTACCCAGTATTAAACACTGTTTGCTTAACCACAGTGAGGCTGGTCCCAATTAGTCCGCAATTAGTAGTGGAGTCCTGTAGCTCAGTGGTTAGAGCACTCGCTTTGCAAGTGAGAGACCTGAGTTCAATTCCAGGCAGGGCGAAACCTTGGGCAAGTTTCCTAACTCCACACGCCTAATAATAATCCCTCCAAAACCCAAAACAATAATAAATTGGTCATTTTCAATCTACGACTGGTTGTGGGACATTGCTGTGCGCAATTGACTGCCGCGTTCGCCCACAAATATACAGTCAATTCACTTTACAGTGTGTTCTATGAAGCGCTTTGGGACGTCCTCCCGACGTGAGAAGCGCTATATCAAATACAAGGATTATTATTATTATTATTATTATAATCGGGTCTCTTCTGTACAAATAAATTGTAAGTAGTCAAAGCTGTACTCTGTATTTTGTATTAAAGATAATGTCACACCACGTACAGTTGGCCCCTTCTATAACGTATTGATTTGGCTCTATAAAATCAGATCCAGTGTTAATCTGTAGATAGATGTTTATAACTGTCATTTATGTGTGAACCCCTTATGTAATCCAATGCTGCCATTCATTAACTATGAATCTTAATAATAAAATGCTATCATTATTAATAATATTAATTATTATCTTAAATGTTTTTGCTACAAATATTTTATGTATAAATAAGTACATTGTGTCAGAGTTTTTATAAATGGCATGAAGTACTTCTTGTTACCAAAAGGAGTCTCCATTTGCCTAACCTATAAATCCTATAAGGAAATATTTGCGGAAAAATTCAAAGTGGGTCTAACTTTACTAAAATTTTCAAAAATTTGTTTATAGGGCATTGCTGTGTGAAAATTAGCCTCCCTACAAAAATATAGTCACTACACTTTACAGTGAATCATTTGAAGTACTTTGAGACATCCACCTAATGTGATTGATGCTACATCAAATACAAGAACTATTAGTATTAATTTGTTTAAAATTGTTTAAGCTCTTTTAAGAACTACAGAAAAATGAATTCAAAATTAAGACTGAATTTATCCTTTATCATTCAACAACTTGCCAAATTCTGGACACTTTAAAATGTTACTCAAATAGAGTAAATTAAGACCCAGGTGGAATTTCTCTCCAATTAGGTTTGGCAGAAGTTTAATTGACCTTCCTACAGACTATTCTGTTTTACGGAGAAACAGCTACCTGATTAAAATGATTAAATGCTTTCATAACAGGACAAGTACTAGCAAACCAGAGAAATCAAATCTGATGTTTTAAGCATGCTGAATTACATACTAATTTGTACATGTCAAAACAAATCTTCATGTTACTTTCACTTTATAAGGATGAAACAATTTCCGATATTCATCTGCTATCTTTAACTGTCAATCCTGTACATTTTCTGAAGCCGATCATGCTATGATCGATGGCAAGTAAATTACAATGATTCAGAGGACTTATCGCCACGTCATTTATA